TCAGCCATCCTTCTGCTTATGTGACATGGTACATTATAGTGAGTGAGAAAACTCAGGCTTTGTTTTCACTCAGGCTTGGGTTTGAGTGCCGGCTCTACCTTTTACTGGCCACGTTGCTTTGGGCTCTTTCACTTTCTTCTTCTGTAAAATGGGAGAGTAATAGTGCATACGTCAAAATACTGTGATGACTAACTGATATACTGTGGGTAAGGTGTCTAGCACATGTCTGGTGCCTTGAAAGGACTCAGAATGTTTAGTTATTATTATTGCATTTAAAAAATAGAGTTTAGTTCTTAACATGCTGGTGGATTTAGAGGGAGTTTTTTTCCTTACTTGTATTTTTTGGAGTAAATTTTTATTGCTTTCAAAATAATTCCCTTCATAGAGTTTAGAGTTCATAATATTTTCTTTTGCTTTCCTCCCACTTCGCATCTTTCCTGCTGGGCAGGAAGATAATGTTCTCCCAGGGAAACAGATTGGTGAAAGGCCGGCTTATGCACTCTGTTCCCTCATGAGCTTTGCTGCATGCTCTTTTGAAGGAACGCTGTCCAGTTAAGACCTAGGCTTGTGTGTGCCTATATACCATCCTTTCATCTCTTAATCAACTTTGTAGTTGATTTGTGTCGAGCATTACTGAGAAATCAGAACCCTCTTTCTACTTCTTCTTTTTCAGGGACCTCTGAGTTATACATTAGATACATGATGGGTCAGCTGTTTATACAGATCGGCAGAGGGAGAGCCTAGGAGTTGGAAAGCCAGAAGGAGGCAAGGGGGGGTCACATGGGGAGGGTGGGGCAGGAGAGGGCAGGATTGGAACAGAAAGAAAAGTCAGGGGAAAGCTGTCTACTGTCTTGGCCTAATTAGCAAGGAGTCCTGTGACCTGTACCGAAGCCAGAACTAAGTCTTAAGCAAGTCCTAAGACAACTTGTAAAAGGAATAAAAGAAGTCCAAGAAAGTTACCCATGATTCAGTTTTTTCAGTTAGGAGAATTGGTGGTTTATATATAAGAATGAGAGTTTTATAACTTTCCACTTCCTGTTTATGCTAAACAGATATGGGTATCTAAGTTGATGAACAGAAATCGGGGGCTTTGAGATTTTCCATAATTCCTTTAGTACAAATGTGATGTGGAATTGGGGTTCGTGGGGAGAATTCTGGAGAAGAGGAAAGAGGAGGGAATTAAAGGGGACTAGTAAATGTTTATTGCAGGATGAAGACCGCAGAAACCCTCAGGCTTGGCATATGTGGGCATTTTGAGGGTATTCTGGCCCCTCGGGGATGATGCCATGTTGGTTTGAGTGAGGAGGCTCTAAGTACTTTGTCCACATGGACTCATCTGGGTCATCTACGGAGGGAATATGTGCAGTGTTTGGTGGCAATGGTGATTTTTCCTAATGAGGGTCTTTGGCTAAATATTATCTTTTATAGAAATTCTTTGACTTCTCTAGATCATACCTTGGGCCTGACTTGATTCACTCTTTTATCCTCAGAGTTCACAGTCCACGTGGGTGATTCGACTCGCATGGGATGTGTTTTCCAGAGCACAGACGAGAAACAAGTGACCCAGGTAGACTGGATGTTCTCATCAGGAGAGCCTGCTAAGGTAATGAGGAGGAAACGTCACTGTGTCGTTGAAGCCCTTGGCTGGTGGTGTCAGGACAGACAGGGGAGGAAGAATCAGGCATCAGGTGCTATGAGGGGGTGTTGCAAGAGCCTGGGCTTTGGACCTTGTCAGAACTCGGTTTTCTCCTAGCTCGGCCCCTTAGCTGGGCAACTTCAGCTTCCTGGTTAGAAAGATGACTCTAATAAAGATGATGATGATCATACTTAACTTTTAGATGCTGCTGTGAGGTTGTACATGTAAAACATTTTGGGCATGACTTGGCCACTGCCTTTTAGTTTCCTTCTTTCTCCCTTTTCTCTTTACAGAGCCCATGGGAGAATGAGGGGAATGATTTTTGTGGCCTAGCCAGGAAAGCAATGGGCGAGGCGTAAGAATTCCTATATGCTATCCCAGTGGGTCAGAAAGCATGGGAGATGGTGGAGTCTGGGGAATTATATGCAGTTCCAAGTTCACCCCCAAGAGCTTGTCATGCATTTAAATGTCAGCCATCAAGTGATTCACAGCAGAAAATAGGATGAGGGTTGACATTTTGAGGTTTTGAATTTGAATCACAGGAGATAAAAGGTTAGGGGCCGGGTCTCTCTATTTGGGTTTGCATCTGCATCTGCATCACCTGTTTATAAAAGTTGTTTC